AAAAAAAAAAGACCAGGTTTGGTGGTCTGATAGAGCCTGGTGAGACCCCTAAGACTCCAGCCCCTAGTTATCCTTCAGGTCTGGAACTGGACTCCCTCCTGTGGCTTCCAGTCAAACAACAGACAGGCATATGGGGTGAACATTTACATCAGATAGATATGTTCCTTGGAACCATCAATCATGGGAGAACAGAAGGGCAGTGTTTACACACGAAGACAGCTCACTGGGCAGGAGTGAATGGGAGGGATGGACACAGCAAAGAGGTGGGTGGCTATGGTGAGGAAGTGAGAGGAGAGCTGTTGCATTGTGGGAGATTACAGTCAGTGTCTTGAGACAAAGTATATGTGAGCTGCTGTATGGCAAGTGAATTTGCTCTATAAGCTTTCACCCATATCATAATAAAAATTAAAAACAAAACAAAACAAACCCCCATTTTGCAGGCGGAGCTCACCGGAAGTAGTCGCAGGACGCAGCCAGCAGGATGCGGTGGGCCTCAATGTGCTTCCCCTCCACCACCAGGACGACATCGAAGAGAATCCCACTGTCACGCAGGGCCAGCAGCCCCCGCAGCAGGGCCTGGGAGTGCTGCGCACTGCGGTAGGTGTTGTTGATACAGTGCGGATGCGAGGGCTGCGCAGGCAACTTGCAGAGCTGGGTGGACTCCCGGTCCTCTGCCATCCTGGCGGCCACGCAAGGCCTCACCACCACAGCTGGCAGCTGGCAAAACAGAGGGCACGGGGTGAGCAGGGCGGTAAACCCACCCCAGGCACCGACTGGCCAGCTCGCCCCAGCGGCACCTGTGGCTCCCCCTGCTCCCATGCTCTCCAGCCCCCTAACGCTGTCTCCCCTCCCACCTCTGGTCTAAACCTGGACTTCTTCCTGATGACCTGTGCCCTTTATCCCCACCATTCTTTCTCCCATTTAATCCTCTTCACCATCACTGTGAAGACAGAAATGGCTAGGGAGACAGACAGATGTGGGTCATAGTGCCAGACCCATCACAGACTCGTACCCCATTCCCTCTGGTTCCGCAACTGTAAACAGGGAGAGAAAAGTCTCAGTTGAAGTCCTGTAAAACTAGTAAGAAAGGGTAAACACTTACATCAGGTAGATACACTCCTTAGAGTGATCAATCATGGGAGAACAGAAGGGTAGTGTTTGCACAGGGAGACAGCTCAGGGGACAGGAATACATAGGAAAGAAGGACACAGGGAAGAGGTAACTACAAGGAGGAAGTGGGAAGAGAACTGTTACATTGTGGGGAATGGCAGTTAATGTCATGAGACAAAATGTGTATGAACTGCTGTATGGAAAATAAATTTGCTCCGTAAACTATCAACCAAATCACAATCAAAATTTAAAAAAAAATAAGAAAGAAAGAAAAAGCTAGTAAGACAATCAATATCAATACCAGTCTACCAGGTTCTCAAGAACTTTTCCTCACTCTTACTGAGAAAGAACATCCAGAG